ATATATATATATATATATATAGTTTTTTTGGTATAAACTACTATTCAAACGTTTTAGATTTTTTTAAAGAAATTATTACTTTTATACAGTAAGGATGATTCCAATCATATTTTGTTGTCTTTACAGTATCACTCTTAATATTTTTCCACAACATAGATGGGATTTTAAATATGAAAATATATAGCTGGTTTCATGTTTTAGGAAAGGGATCCCTCACTAGGGGATCATTGTATTTGAGGGTTTTTGGCATCAAAAGTTTGAATATCTTTTAGTTTTCAGTTCTTTAGTTTATATAACACTGTGAGTCATCTCTGACATCAAAGTTTGTAAAACAAAAAAAAGAAGAAAATTCCAAACTGACAACCAACTTTTATTTCCCAGCATGCCAGTGCAATGGCCACAGCACATGTGTGAACGTCAGCGTGTGCGAGCAGTGTCGTAACCTCACCACCGGCCTTCACTGCGAAACATGCTTGCCTGGATACCATGGAGACCCAACCAATGGCGGAAAGTGCCAAGGTGAGAATATTTGCACCTGCTACTAACAGGGCATTTTGATATACCATTTGGCTTAGTAATGGAGAATAGAGCACACTGGGAAATGAGTGTTGAGGTCATTGAGGTGGTTGTGCTGCCAGAGGAGAGGGGTAAGATCACACATAGACATGCACTCACATTTTTTCTCTTTTGCCCTGGAGAATGTCGGTTTACAGCACTGGCCTATGATTCCAGGTGAAACAGGATATGTTGTCATAGACCATTATGTTCACAGATATGGGAGAACTCCCCCACCAGGAGTTTAAAACTAAGAGCTAGTGATCACAAAATATGTGTTATTTTAAACATTATAAAAGTGCGGTCCTAAGAGGTCTTATGTTTTATTTACAACATATTTTTGTATGTAAATGGATTTGTTCCTCAATGTTTTTGTGAAATTTTGCCCAAGGCCACTTCTACTTTAATACTTTATGACACATCAGTTCTGAAACTGCTCCCTGCAAACATTAGACACTATCATATTTCCCATATTCTTGAGAAATATGATATTCATATTCCTTCTTAAAAGCGGACCAGCTCACAAAAGACGTTCATATGCACATCAGCATAGACCTTTGATATACGACCTACAGGATGCTGGGATTTAGAGACAGCATAGAATTGGTCCTATACATGCTTTCATGCATGTTTAGCACAGCGGACAAAAGCCTGTCAGAGCCCAATGATCTGCAGCCATGTTAGTGCAGCGTGAAGAGCCTGTGTAGAATTGAAGCTTATTTTAGAAATAATTATAGTCCACTGCTCAAAAAAGGAAAATGGATTTCAGTACAGATAAAAGACTGTGGCACTTAAAGCAGGTGTTTTTGTCCATATCAAAAATCTTCTGAGCGCAATTTAACCTGTTTTGCAGAGTTTCAGAACTGGTGATCTTGAAGTGAGTCATGTAATAAGAAATTACATTTTCCTCATGCTTTGAAATAAGAGTTAATTGAAACTCTTATTTCAAAACTTTCTCCCAAGTCCAAAAAGACCAATTTCATCCAGATTCTACAAATACACTAACACAACAACTCCCACATCAATGCCAGTAATGCTAATATGGAGTTCAGCAACATGGTCTGCTCAGCCATAGTGATGTTTCATATGACCACTTTACTCATTAAAAATATATGTTTGTATAGACAGTATTATTCACAAGTTCAGGGTCAGCATGAGAAATGTTTATAAAAGTGTCTTTTAAATGTATTGTAAGATGTTTTAATGTTTTTGAAAGAAGTCTTCTTTCAAAAACATTAAAAGATCTCACTGACCCTAAACTTTTGAACAGTAGTCTATAACATAAAACATATGCAAAAATATATATTTTATATAATATATACAAATATATATTTGCAAGTAAATTTATGAAATTTAATTGAAATGTGTAAATCTGTTATTTAAATAAATCTATTTCAAACTATTGTTATTTTATTTTTAAATTTTGTAATATGTAGTACTAAATTCAGATGTTTTAGTTTCTGCTCTGCCAGGATTATGTAATAGTTTTATTTTCAAGTGCACATAGAATGAAGAGAATTTACCGTTATGTTTGTTCATTGACCTCTGTGGTTAAGGTTTGTAATTTATTATTTTGATTTCCATCATTGATGTTGCCTAGGGACCGTAACATGATGTTCTTATTTCATCTAATGCAGCAAAACTCACTTCTCTGTGAAGAAAATCTGAGAACAGAAAGGGACCACCTATGGCTATGAGCTAATCTCACTGTTTTTGTCAGCCTGTTTGACCTGAAGTATAGATCCAACTGATGTACTGAAAACTGAAGAGACTGAATTGAATTTGAATGTTTGAGTCAATTAAGTCGTTTGAATTTGTATTTATTTGTAGATAAAAAGAGCTCATTCCTTATTGAAATCTACATATTTTCTTTAAATTGCAGTATGTGCAGTTTTCATTAATTAAATATTTAAGCTACTGTGTTCGTAGATCAGTCTTGTACTTCTCTGTGTTTCTGTTCTCACACAATGTTTTTCTGTCTTTCCTTCCCACTTCTATCTCTCTCCATATATTTCTCGTCCCCCCATTTTTGTCCGGTTCCTCCACACTTTTTCTTTTTCAGCCTGTAAATGTAATGGCCATGCCAACGTGTGCCAGGTGCTGACGGGCAAATGCTTCTGCACCACCAAGGGTATCAAAGGCGACCAATGCCAGCTGTAAGTACCTCTACTGCATACAAACATTTAATTATCTTAATAAGGACATACCAAGACTTTTATTTTAAAACATTTTAAATAAATAGAATTGATTTATATAGAATAAATACTTAAGAAAAACATTAATATACTTATTCAATAAATAATATTATAATTTTTTATTGCAATTTATTTATTTATTTTAACCCCAATTGACATTGTCCCTGAATCATTTCAAAGTATAGTTAATACCTACACACTCCTTTAATCATTAAGCCTCCTGCATTCCATTTAGCTTGACTCTGTGTCCTCACAATTTTACCTAAAGCTGACCTGCAGACGCAGCATATTTTGTCTGCGTGTGTGCACCCACTTTAATAGCACTAATAGAGGTGGAAGTGAGGTGTGGGAGTGTGCTGGCGTGTGTTTGTGACTATTAGAGAGACCATTCCTCTTTGAGAATAATGAAACTCAAGCGTTTCACTCACTGCATTGTTATATGTGCATGCAGGAATTCTAAAGAGTGGGTTGACCAGTCATGCTTATTTAGGAGATGTGGGTGCGAACTGAATTTCCCACTCAGATACTTCAGTCACAGAAACAGAAGCTGGTGAGCAGCTTGAAATCTGGGCTGCTATGTTGCATTCAGAGCTGCAGCAGAGGATGGTAGCTCCTTTGTTGTGCTCTTTTAAGAGCAAATGCTTTGTTATAGGCTGACGTGTAACTCTGGGATATGAAGTGTTTTATGACAGGAAACAGGAAACTGTGTCCTTTGTCCCTGCAGGTCTCTTTTCACATTGTATTTTTTGGCACCACAGTGCATTTTCATCATAAACATAGCGACAGCTGTACACCGTAGTAAGGTAATGACTCAGGAGGAGAAGGCATCATAGAAAGCATTGTGCACTTAATTTTTTACTTTGCTTTACTGGTACCATTGTTAATACCGTAACTGATTGACGTTTGGTTCCATTCGGTTTCCATTAATGTTTCTTGCAAAATGTTTCTTCGATGCAAAAATACTCCAGTCCAGTATAGTTCAATTCCCAAAAAATTGATTCTTATAAACAGGTTCTGAATTAAAAGCATAGTGACAAGTGTAGTCCGATTTCTGAACAAGTGACTCTTATGAGCTCATTATTTACTGAATCAAAAACATTGAGTGTGACCAGAGTAGTCCAATTACAGAAAAGGGTAGTTGACTCTTATGAGCTCGGTCTTATTAGTGAATCAGAAACATTATTATCAAGATTATTAACAAGATTATCTCCAGTGTTTAATTCCTGAACAATTGACACTTATGCGTGAGTAGTTCTTTTTAGTGAATCAAAAGAGTTTGACTAGTGTAGTTCAATTCCTGAACTAGTGACTCTTATGAGTTGGATCTTTTTAGTGAATTATAAACATAGAGTGTGACCAGTGTATCCAGATTCCTGGATGAGTGACTCTTATTAGGTAATAGTTATTTTTAGTTTGGTTCCATTCGGTTTCCATTAATGTTTCTTGCAAAATGTTTCTTCCATGCAAAAATACTCTGGCAGTATATTGTGCACTGCAACATTACAATTAAATCTACTACGCAAAAACATATGCAATATGTCCAGTATAGTTCAATTCCCAAAAAATTTATTCTTATAAACAGGTTCTGAATTAAAAGCATAGTGACAAGTGTAGTCCGATTTCTGAACAAGTGACTCTTATGAGCTCATTATTTACTGAATCAAAAACATTGAGTGTGACCAGAGTAGTCCAATTACAGAAAAGGGTAGTTGACTCTTATGAGCTCGGTCTTATTAGTGAATCAGAAACATTATTATCAAGATTATTAACAAGATTATCTCCAGTGTTTAATTCCTGAACAATTGACACTTATGCGTGAGTAGTTCTTTTTAGTGAATCAAAAGAGTTTGACTAGTGTAGTTCAATTCCTGAACTAGTGACTCTTATGAGTTGGATCTTTTTCGTAAATCAAAAACATAGAAAGTGACCAGTGTAATTTTGAATCCTGAACAAGTGACTTTATGAGTTGGCTCTTTTTAGTGAATTATAAACATAGAGTGTGACCAGTGTATCCAGATTCCTGGATGAGTGACTCTTATTAGGTAATAGTTATTTTTAGTGAATCAAAAACGTAGTGTGTGACTAGTGTAGTCCAATTCCTAAAAAAGCAGCTCTTATGAGTTTGTTCTTTTTAGTAAATCAGAAACATAGTGTGTGACCAGTGTAGTGTAATTCCCGAACAAGTGACAAGTGATGATTTCTCTCTCGCACGCACTTTTGTTGTTATTTCATTGTGTGAGTGTGCGTGCCGGTAGATGCTTGTTTTTAATTGTGTGTAACCCAATCAGGCCAAGCCAGGTCCATTGATGATGTATTCAAGCGTGTCTTCATCAAGGACAAAT